TGGGCATCAAGGTCTGGGTTTTCAGGAGTTTTGTCTTTGGTACACTTGAAATTACCTGTGGTCTACCTTTGGGTTTTCTTCATTTATAACAGATCTCTTGTTTTTCTCTTTAGTTCTATTAATCAGTGTCAGTGGGAGAGGATTTCCCTTCTGATGTTTGCTCAGTCCTCTCTTCTTCCCTGATCCATGCTCTGGATTTGTTCTATTTTGAAATAGTATGGTGGACAGGAGTCTTTACTGTTTCTTGTAGTTTTTGAAAGTCGGATAACGTAGGGGACGGGGTGCTAGGATTCAGAAACTACTTGTAAAATGTAATGTTCATTTATTGTGGTATGTATTTGCTAAAACTCACTCCCCACCAGCGCTTTATATGATGATGCAAAAAAGAAACCGGTGCAAAAAATAACTGAACACACACACACACACACAAACACACACACACACACCCCTAAACAAACTGGAATAACAACAAAGTGAAATGAAACAAACTGCAACCTAGAAAACTGAACACACACACACACGCGCCTAACACAAAGTGAACAGAGAAGAAAAACAGAAAGACCAGAAAAAAAAAGGAAATACAGATCAAACCCTCTCACATATATTGACACACACCTTAAACTATAAAAAATGAAAGGAAAAAAAGTCAACAGAAGAACAAAAGGGCAAAAACAAGCCAACAACAACAACAAAATTGAAAGCTGAACACTCAATCATTCATATACACACATAAACAGAAAACAACAAATAAAAGAAGAAACAGAAAAAGAAAAAGATTGGGGGAGGGGATGCAGATCAAACCCTCACATTCACATTCATGTGCACAAGAAAAATATTTTAAAAACAGATGAACTAAAAAACACACAAACAAAAAATTTTTTAAAATTTGAACAAACATAAAAAAAACCTGCCCTCTGATTGCAGCTTCTGTAATTGTTCCTCTAATCTGATCTCTCTTTCAGAGCCACCTTTTTCTTTTTCTTTTTCTTTTGAGTTGGAGTTTCACCCTGTTGCCCAGACTGGAGTGCAGTGGCCGCTCCTGGCCACCGCAGCCTCGACCTGCTGGGCTCAGGCCATCCTTCCGCCTCTGCCTTCCAAGTAGCTGGAACTACAGGTGCGCGCTACCATGCCCGGCTGATTTTTTGGTTTATTGTAGAGATGAGGTCTCGCTGCCCAGGTGGGTCTCAAACCCGCGGGCTCAGGCAATCCACTCACCTCAGCCTCCCAAGGCGTGGAATTACAGGCTGAGCTACCGAGCCCGGCTAGAGCTACCTCTTTCTCTCTCTCCACAGTGTCCAGAGCAGGGAAGGAGGAGGGACAGTGGAGGTGGGCGGGGCGGCAGTCCTCCCCTCCCACTCTCGTATGGTCACGGAGATCTCCTCCGGTGGGGTGGTACGGGATTATCTCTTCCTCAGGTAGGTACTCACAGGGTGGTGCCCCAGCCAGGCCTGTCCTGGGATGGAATTCTCCTATTGCCAGTCCAGGCTCCTCCTGGGTTTGTCCCTCTCAGTCGTGGCCCAGCTGTGTGGGTCTGATGTTCAGAGGATTGCTGGGGAGGAGAGGGTTTGGGTCAGCCCTGAACTCACCACTGATCTCTTTGAAGTCCTTCCTTGCCCTTTTCGGGCCAAAACCCTTTTCCCACAGCTGGATCAGGGTAGGGGTGGGGTGCCTGGAACTCAGCACTTGTCAGGTCCCTCCGAAGTTTGTGCTTTCAGGGTATTCCCTCTGGGTCAAGATCAATCCCCGAGTAGTTGATCCCCCAGTTACAGAGATCTGGTCTGTTACTCCATGGTGAGCAAGTCGGAGCACTTTCCTGCCTCGCCTTCAAGATGGTGGTGGTGGGCTTCTCTTGTTCTCTTCCATGAGATTTTGCCTCTGGACTCCTTCCACAGTCCTGCTGCCAATGCCCTGCCAGGTGCTGAAGTGGTGAGGCAAAACCTGGAGCCGGCCGTCTCTCCTGCTGCAGTGGTGAGGCAGAGCCTGGGGTGGTAGTCTCTTCCACTGCTTCTTCACAGGAAAACTTTTGTCTATTTAAAAAAAATGGTACTCGGCTTCTGCGACCTGGGAAGAGCCAGGGACCAAGCAGAGAAGCTGCAGTGCCCGCTGGTGCACCAGGGCCCTGGCCACTTGCTCACGCACCCCCACTTAGTCAGTCTCTCTGGGCATTTTCTTCCCAGGAAGGGTTTTGTTGATTTTTTTTAAAATGGCACTCAGCTTCTGCATCCCAGGAATCTGTAGGGTCCAAGCACCAGCCACCACAGGAGATCCCTGGCCACTAGCTTCCTAACCCTTACTGAGTCAGCCACTCACACGCCCACTTGCTCACCAGCATGTACACACAATTTTTCATACACTCACTCACCCCCACTGGGACTCGCATATTCCAACTGGCTTGACCGCCATCTTCTCGACCCCTGAAAGTGAATTCTTAAGAACAACAATGGAGGCAGGGAGAAGAGTTGGGTGGTTCTGTGTCAAGCAGGCAGTGATGGGGACCCGAACTGGGGATTACTAGAAATGGAGACAAGAGGATGGACTTAAGAAATATTTAGGTGGTACATCGGAAAGGATTTGGTAATCGGGAGTGAGAAAGAGGAATTAAAGGTGAGAGCCAGGTTTTGAGTTGGACAAGGAGGTGAACTTTCGGTTACCTACTGATAGAGTGTATCAGCACAGAGGCTGATAGAAAACACAGGTAGGGGAGCAGCAGGTTGGACTTACGTTCTTAAAAGATGCCTCTGGCTTTGCTCTGTGGATATGCTTAGCAGAGGTGATGAGAAGTGGTTAGATTTGTGAGTTAGTAGAGCATGGTGATGATTTTATGTAGAAGATAGGGGAGGAATCAAGGATGTTTTCATGGGTACACACACACACACACTGTATCTATATTTTTTTCTGGAAATTTGTTCATCAAGTCACAACAACAAGTAGGTGCTTGGATAAACTAGTCTGAGGAAGGTTGATTTAAAAAAATGGCGCCAGGGCTGGTGATATGAATCTGAGTGTGGGTGTGGCCAACTGGTACACATTATCTGATACCATTATCTGTGTGATCTCAGTGAGATCACACAGGCAATGAGTATAGAGACAGGAGGGCACTGAAGCGTGTCACCGCTTGGGGAGGTGGCAAAGAGGAGGAAGATCCCCAAAGGAGATAGAACAGAAATATGAGAACATATTTCAGCGAGTGGTGTCAGTGGAAGGGTGGGGAAGAGGGCAGTGGAGGAAGTGGATCTGGTGATGTAGGTGAGAGACAATGTCAGAGGCCAAGACCTTTCGTAAGGAAGAGGCTAGAGAGTGAGCTGTACTACCCAGGGGAGCAGAAAGAGTGAGAAACACTAGGAGAGAACTGGAAAGAGAACTGATATCCAAAACACACAGAGGATCGGAACCCGGAAGCCCACAGGTCAGAGAGAAGGGGATGTAGAGGCTGAAGGAGAGTGCAGGAAAGGGGAACTGTGAAGAGAGGACTTCACAGAGAATGTGGCCAACAGTGTCCAGTGCTGCTGAGAGCTAACGTAGGCTAAGTGCTCCATGGTGCCCCATGGGTTAGATGCAAAGGTGCCACTGGTGGCTTGGGTGAAAGCAGTTTCAGTGGAGTAATGGGGGCAGGAATCAGACTCACAGGAGGTGAGGACATGGAGGAAGTGAGCACCCAAGCCTCTTTCAAGATTTGGCTGGGCACCTGGACATGGTGACTCCTGTAATCCCAGCACTTTGGGAAGGCCAAAGTAGGAGGCTTGCTTGAGCCCAGGAACTTTAGACCAGCCTGGGCAACACAGTGAGACCTCACCTCTACAAGAAATAAAAAAAAAAAAATTAGCCAGGTGTGGTGGTGCATACCTGTAGTCCCAGCTACTTGGGAAGTTGAGGCAGAAGGATCACCTGATCCCCGCAGGTAGAGGCTGCGGTGACGGTGAGCATGCCACTGCACCCAAACCAAGACAACAGTAAGAGACCCTACACCCCAAAAAAAATGTCTTGAAAGGAAGGAGAATAAGTGAGGCGAGATATCAGAAAGAAGATGCTTTCTCTTTTTAAGAAGTTGTGATTGAGCATGAATAAATGCTGGTGGGAAGAAGCTCAGAGAGAGAGGAGAGATGGAAAGTAAGAGAAAGGGAGGGAGAAGGAGAGAGAGAAGGAAAGGGAGAGAGAGAGAAAGGGTGGGAGAGTTGGGGGGGAGATTGGGGTAAAGATACCAAAGAGAGACGGGGTAAATGAGAGGAGTCCCCTGAGAAATATGAGTAGATGATTTCAAGAGTAAAGCACCTGAATCTTCCTTTATCAGGAAAATTCCTTGCAGGAAGAAGTTTGACAGTGCAGATGTATTTGTGGCAGGAAGTTGAAGTATAAAATTATTAATTACGGGCAGGACTGTCCTTTATTATTTGTTTGTTTATTTATTTATTTTGGAGTCAGGGTCTCACTCTGTTGCCCAGGCTGGAGTGCGGTGGCATGATCATGGCTCACCACAGTCTTGACTTCCTGGGCTCAAGCGATCCTTCCTGAGTAGCTAGGACTACAGTTGCATGCCACCATGCCTGACTGATTTTTTTGGTCCTTTATTTAGAAACAAACCACGAATTAAGGATGAGGGAAATAGACCCATGTTTGAGTTGTATAGTTTCATCAGGTGGGGCCTCCTTCCTGTTGAATTAGCCAGATGGCACCAAAAAGAAATCTTGTGGAAGACAGGCATGTGGGCTCGAGTCTGCAAGGGGTGAACATGACTGGTTTGGAATAAAATGCGCCCAAGCTGGTACAGATTAATCAAGGATCAATGTTTTCCCAGCACCTGCAACCTGATGTCACAGTCATTTTTCAGGGCAACCTTTTCACAAGGAAACTTGAGTTCTTAGACTTATAAATTATGGAAAAACTTTGAAGAAGACCCTCCTTCTTCACACATTTAAATCAAAGTGGGTTGTGCACCCAAATCTTCAGCAAGCCCCCCTTAAGAGCCCTCAATGCAAATAATGATTTTCATGTTATTCTTTTAGAGAAAAACACTGCTGTCAAACCAGATATTTTGGATCCCGTCAATGACACACTGGAAGTAGAACTTGGTAAGTTGGGCTTTTTCACTCTTGAATGACACTTTGCGTCTGAGATCAGGTCGAAGTGTGATCGAAAAAAGGTGCACTGGGCTTTCCAGGCAAACAGAATTGGGTGTGAATCTTGACTCAGCCACCGACTGGTGTGGCCTCACACAGATACTTATTTCTTCTAGGCCTCTGTCTTTAAGGCTGCAAATAGTTATCATAAAACTGACCTTACAAGGTTGCATTGAGAAATAATGAGACAATGTATGTTCAGTGGGTGGTGCCTTGGGCATGACCCATGGATTTTAGATTCTTTCTTAACTCTGCCCAAGAGCAGGTGGTTCTATGTATTGGTTAGGTCCATTCGTTATATCTATGCGTTTTCCAACTTGAGTAACATACACCTTTATAAACACAAGGTGATGCTTGGTCTTTAAGAGACTTGTGATGGGATTCTACAATCCCTGCTCAAACAATTTGTGTTCCAAAATATTGCCTTCTTTGGGGTGGAAGAGAAATGGACTTCCCTGTGGTCTTCTTTCATTCTGCAGCTTCAGTAACATCTGTGTCTGCCTACACAGCCATCTAAGAATTGCTGTACTTAAAACCAAATGCTAATCGTTTCCATAAAATAAGTGCTCTTTTATGCGCTAATAAAAGATTGATTGTTGTAAGAAAGGTAAAAATAGATGTTATGGTGTAAAGTCACTAGGTGGCAGTAGCGGAGTATCCCGATTATAAAAATAGTAACAGTCTTATAGGTCACATTACAGGACCAGAAGGAGGGAATAAGGCAGAAGAAAAATAAAAGAATTAAAAATAGGCTACACTTATGGTATTAGTGAAGTATCAGGCGTTACTGGTGGAAAACCATTAAGGCGCACAAATGAGTTTCCCAATGGTGCACCTAACAATTTCATAGTTAAATATTAAGTTTGAAGCAGAAAATATATGGATATCCCTTACAGAGAAAATGGGTAGAAAGAGGTTAGTTTAACACCATGCATGCCTATCCATAGTGCATGACTCTAAAAAATAGCTGACTATCTAAATAGTTTCTACTTTAAACCACGTGCTGCAATAATCTCATGATTTTTACTTGCTCTGCAAGTATCAGTTAGTGAAATGTTCTTTATAGATGTACCTTGTATTTTAACATGGTGTTGATGACCAGGCTGGTCTTCGAAGCGCCTCATTTTTCTGGTGTCCCCCTCAGATCGTATTAGGACCCTTAGTGATATGGTCATGCTCGTCTTCACTTCAAGAACACATACAAATATGGCTGAGACTTAAGGATTGCTTATTAGAAACAAACACGCCTGGTTTTTTGTGCTTCTGAATGGGATGTGTTTAGTTATATATTACCCAGCTGTTTTACCTGCAAGCCTGAGGTATCAGGAAACAGCCTTGGTCAAGACTTCCTTCCTCACACAGGACAAAGTTTTCTCATGACTTCCTTCCTGTTTTCTTTGACTTCTTCATTTTCAGGAAAGTCTTTTTTTTCCCCAAAGAATAGAGATTTATTTCTCTCAGTTCTGAAGGATGGAAGTCCAGGATCAAGGGGCTGACAGATTCGGTGTCTGGTGGAGGGTTGCTTTGTCGACAGCTACGGTTTTGCTGTAACCTCACATGGCAGTACAGGGGATCTTTTCTGCAGTCTCTTATAAGGGTGCTAATCCACTTTCAAGACTTAATCATTTTCCCAAATCTCCACCTCCCAATGCCATCACTTTGGGAGTTAGGGTTTCAACATATGAATTTCAGGAGAAAGAAAGATTCAGACCATAGCATTCTGTTCGATAAATATATAAACTGTAACTATTTTCAGGAAAGTCTTTAACCATTACCTGCAAAGCACGGTTTGGCTTTGAATCAAACTTTGATCCTGTGATAAGATGGCATATCAAAGATTCTGACCGGGAGTGGGAAGTGTCAACACCTGCGGCGAAAAGGTAAGAAGAAAATTGGCAGACTCTAGTCTTTGCAACTCAGATATTTTCACCTTTAGAAACCACTGAAATATAGGTTCTGAGTTGATGGTGTAGCTGTGAGCACCAACTAGTGGTGATAATAAAAGCGCAGAAACACAAAGTGCAAAGGGTCGTAGAGTGAAGATTTTAAGTTGTTTTGGGCCTCACTTTGTTGGGGTTTTTTTGTTTTTCTAATTTTTAATTTTAAAATTGTGGGGTACAGTTAAGGGTTAGGTATTCATTGTGCAGGTACCCTTGTTGATGAGGTATGCTCCCCCTTCCCCAGACAGATATTGACCACCATTAATCCCACCTCCCTGTCCCTCCCTGCCCACCCCCCCATAGTTTCCTGCCACTGTCAATCCTTTTCTTATGGTATTACGGTACTTTGAACCTCATTTTGTAGCAACCATTTTGCATGGCTTCTTTAAAAGCCAAGCTATGGAGCAGACAGACATACTGAGTCAGGCTGCTTGAAGATAATGCAACATGTCCCAGAAATGGGAGAGAATGTTCTCCACCCTCAGACCCCATTTCGCCAGCATTGTCCACTCAGAGTATGGCAAGTTCAAGGATCCAGATGTGTGGAGTAATTGACAGTTTGTGAAGGACCCAGAGGAAATGGCAGTAGAGTAAGGGGTCCGGCAGAAAACATGTGAAGTGAGGTATTGTGGAAAAAACTCCACCTGGAAAAGGAGACTAACGGGCGGCCCTCTGTCTTGAAATACTCACTGTCTTGAAATGATGTTTTATGAGAAATCAGATTCAGTTTGTTACTCTCCAGAGCACGAAACCCACATCAGTGGCCAGAATTTACTGGTAAAAGATTTTGCTTGACTGGGCGTGGTGGCTCAAGCTTGTAATCCCAGCACTTTGGGAGGCTGAGGTGAGAGGATGGCCTGAGCCCACGGGTTCAAGATCAGCCTGGGCCACTTGGTGAGACCTCATCTCTACAATAACATTAAAAAATTCACCGGGTGTGGTGGTGTGTGCCTGTAGTTTCAGCTACTTGGAAGACTGAGGTGGAAGGATTGCCTGAGCCCAGCAGGTCGGTGCCGGGGTGGCTGTGAGTGTGCCACTGTACTCTAGCCTGGGCGATGGAGTGAGACTCTCATTCAAAATAAATAAGTACAAAGACATATTTGGAGCTATCCAATGTCTTGAAAAACTGATTTCTAGACCCCAGAATGGTCAAAGGGCCAGGACCCAGTCACATCCAATCAGACATGTCACTAAGGGTGCATTCCCTCTTTTCTCCAGGATCTGATCCAAAGTAAGAGTCTATGCATTAAGTAGTGTCTTCTGCTTTTTAAAACATATCAGTTCACAAGTGTAATATCATTTTGAGAAGTATGCATTATTACAAAAAAAGTAAAGGATAGATTTTGGTAACAGCAATGAAATTCATCAGGAACGTCTAAGATAAGGGAATTCACTGTCTTGAGCTTACACTGCATTAGAGTGTGGTAAAGATAGTATGCTTTGAATCTCCGTTTTCCAGCTTGTGGCAATATAGCCTTTTAACCCCTGTGAACCTCTGTCACCCACCGACGATCTATGGACAAAGTGGATAATAAGCTCCACTTCGCAAACTCATGTAAGTGGCAGATACAGTAGAGGGGATAGGTGTCTACTGTATCCGCCACTTACATGAGTTTGCGAAGTGGAAGGTAGGAAGCATTCAGTGAATAAGAGCTGGTATCGTAGGCTCAGAGCACCACAACCTAAAACATCATCCACACAAACACGATTTCTTAACACACAGACAGAAGATATATCGGCATCTTCAGAGAACCCAGATTGTGAATAAATGCCAAGACTCACAGTTTCTTGATGGGACAGGTTGATACAGGCTCAGGGGTCAGGCTGCCACTTGCCAGCAACGTGACCCAGTTCTATTCATCCACCTTTGCTTTGTTTGTGTCACTGGCTAAGGTAGGATGATGATATTACTCTGTAGGGCTCCTGAAAGCTGAGGAACCGAGGCTGTTAAAATCTCTATTCAGTGCTCAGAAGGGTACCTGACACATAATAAATGTTTAGTAGGAGTCAGTCATTTTTAATAATCCTTTAAAATTATTGTTCTTATTTACTTCAAGGAGAATTCTTAGAGTAAGAAAGGTCAGATGAGGCCCACAAGTAAATTGTGTCTTAGTGTAAATGCTGAGTAGAGTCAACGATTGAGTCAACCACGAGCCCTCACCCACCTCATGTTTTCCTGGTATCTTCCATTACTATGGATTCCATAGTTCTTCTGAAAGTCAAACTGTTGGCTTCCTATATGAGTCATAAATACTGCAAATGGATATTAATTTATGTCACTGAACGAATGTAGTATTTCTCCTCCTCCCCTCAGTATTAAGTCCACTTTAAAGGAAAAAATCTTTGAGCGTGATGTCATCTTGGAAGAAGTCACTCGGAGTGACCTTCGCCGGAAGTTTGTTTGTTTTGCCCAGAACTCCGTTGGGAACACAACTCGGTCCGTGCAACTGAAGGAAGTGAGAGGAGGTAAGCCTGGAAGTTTGCCCTGGGATGTATGCAACTGCTTGTACTTGAGCAGGAAGAAATTTTCCTAAAGAAGAGCCATGATAATGATCAACATGCACATCTTCTAGGTACCAGACATTGTTCTAAGCACTTTGCTTTTGTTAACCCATTGGATACCTTGATCAAAGCCACACAACTAGTGAATTGTCGATAGATAATCCAGAGCTGGTCCTCTTCACTAATATTCTGCATATGGGGGTTGGAGGCTGTGATGGAAAAGCCATTAATTCACTCACTTACTCACATACTCACTCATTCATTCTACAAGTACCTGCAGAAAATGCCCTATGTGGCAGACACTGTGCTAAGACCTAGCCCCCTTTTCTAGTTTTCTCTACTGGCTTCCACGTCCAGGGAACATGAGGGATTTATGTTCTCATGGAAGATGGTAGGCGAGACAGAGTAATCTTGCTCAGTGTTCAGAATGATATCTGTGTATCACAAATCGTCACTTTTTAAAAAGCAGAAGTGGAAATTTCAGATAATAAATAGCTTTTAAATTTCTTTAGAAGACGCCCAGAGATGAAGTTGATATCATTCGTTAATTTAATTAATGAATGGCTATAGATACAAGCACGTTTGAATGTTTGTGAGGCGTAAATCAGACAATGTGAGCTCCTGGCGTGTGATGGGTATCCTATAATGGCAGCTTCCCTCTGTGGAGGTGTGCAGTGGATCCCTGGTGTTAGGTAAGCCAGATGGGACTCCTGGTCTCAAGCTGTAGTAGGGACGATAACACACAAAAATAATTTACAATATGCAACAAAGAGGGATGTCAGCGGATTGTGTGAAAGTTTATGGGGGCTCTTTTCCGGCTGGAACCATGGAGGGTGTCGAAGAGAAGAAAAAGAAGGTTCCTGCTGTGCTGAAACCTTTCAGAAAAAGCAAAGGCATTTCACAGAGCTGAAGACAAAGCCCCTGAGAAAGAAGTTTGCCACCCAAAATACGTCGAAAGGTAAGGAGAAAGCTTATCTATGAAAAAGCTAAGCACGATCACAAGGAATATAGGCAGATGTACAGAACTGAGATTCCAGCGGCTAGGATGGCAAGAATAGCCGGCAGCTTCTATGCACCTGCAGAACCCAAATTGGCATTTGTCCTCAGGCTCAGAGGTATCCATGGTGTGAGCCCAAAGGTCCGGAAGGTGTTGCGGCTTCTTCGTCTTCAACAGATCTTCAATGGAAACTTTGTGAAGCTCAACAAGGTTTCAAAGAACATGCTGAGGATTGTAGAACCGTACATTGCATGGGGGGGACCCAAACCTGAAGTCAGTAAATGAACTCATCTACAAGCGTGGTTATGGCAAAATTAATAAGGAGCGAATTGCCTTGACAGATAATGGTTTGATTGCTTGATCTCTTGGCAAATGTGGCATCATCTGCATGGCGGATCTGTTTCGCGAGATCTATACTGTTGGAAAACGCTTCAGAAAAGGAAATAACTTCCTCTGGCTTTTTAAATTATCCTCTCCATGAGGTGGAATGAAGAAAGAGACCACCCATTTTGCAGAAGGTGGGGATACTGGCAACAGGGATGACCAGATCAACAGGTTTATTAGAAGGATGGATGAACTAAGATGTATGCCATGATTATTTTTGTTAACAGGTGAGTTAATACACAGTGCCTGCTTTCAAATGGAAAAAAAAAGAGAAAGTTTATGGGGTAAAAATAAATAAAATGGCTATCATCCATTTCCCAGTTCCCTGAACAAGAACTGCCTATTCCCCTGGGATCTTTAGAGTTCATTGTAAGGCAGTTCTCAAGATGTGGTTGAAGATGTTCCTAGATTCCAAAGAACTGCTGCCAGTGGCAGTGATTTTGATAAAACAATAAGACAGAGAGAGGAGCCAAGTGGGCCACAGCACTGGCCTAAGGGTGACCGGGCCCAGGTCTGCTGCCTCTGCATCTGCTCACGGGCTCTGTGTTTCCCCAGTGGTGTTCCTGTACGTCCTGCTTGGCACCGTTGGGACCCTCTTGGGCATGCTGGTGGCAGGTGCACTCCTCTACACGTACTGGATTGAAATCGTGCTGCTGTGCCGAACCTACCAGAGTAAGGACGAGATACTCGGGGGTAAGGCCACCCTCACATGCCACCCTCTGATTTTTCTCTCTACCACCACCACCCCTTGGCTCTGTTTCCTCAGAGTGATTTTAGGAGGGAATTTCAGATGCCTCCTGCCCACCAGGGCGAAGCACCAGGGAGGGATACAAGAAAGGGATGTTCCCTGCTGTGTAAAGTTGTGCCCAGGTGTCTTGGGGCTTTCTTCCAGGTCTGGGGGCCTCAAGCCAGAGAAGGCCGCAGAAACAATTTTATAAAATTATGACTCAGTTTTCCAGGAATCTTGTAGACCATGCTATTGTGGGACAGGTTGGTCTTGAAAATAATGCCTTTTTCCCAGCCATATAAAGCCATAGAGTAAATGGCTGAATGTCTCTGGGATTTTGTTTCGTTATCTGTAACATAGAATTGTGAGCACACCTATGGCAAAGGATGCTGGGAGGGCTTGTTGACATGTTATTAGGACCTAGTAAGCATTTAGGATGGCACCGAGCACATAGTCACCATGCAGCACTTGCAGCTGTTGCTATTTCTTTTTCTGTTCTTTTTTTGTTTTGTTTTTGTTTTTGAGTCAGAGTCTTACTCTGTGACCTACGGTGGAGTGCAGTGGCACGTTCATGGCCACCCCAGCATCGACCCGCTGGCCTCTGGTGATCCTTCCCCCTTCCTTCCAAGTAGCCAGAACTACAGGCACACAGTACCATGCCCAGCTAGTTTTTTTTTTAATTATTGTAGAGACGAGGTCTGGTCAAGTTGCCCGGGCTAGTCTCAAACCCGTAGGCTCAGGCAATCCACTTGCCCCGACTTCCCAAAGTGCTGGGATTACAGACTGAGACCCTGAGCCTGGCCTAGCTGTTGCTATTTCGCGAGGACTGTAGTGAATGCTTGTCATGTGTATGAGTTATTTTAACTTTCACAGCATTCCTATGAAGCAGGCAGAGAGAGGTGAAGACTGAACCACCGGAGGGTGTTAGAAATTGGCATTCAGATTCAGGTTGTCTGGTTTAAGAGATCCCATTAGCTTAAACTCAGCCTCAACTGTAAAATGAGGAGCTTTAAGAGGGTGGAAATGTCCCCAAAAGTGGGAAGCCCTGGAGAATGCAAGTACTATTACTATCAATGAAGTATGTGTTGTTATTCCCATGAGAAAAGATCATCTTGTTTCTTTAGACTAGAACAGCTGCTTCTGTTTTTCTAGTCCTGGAATTCCCTAAGGTTAGAATGTCTGCACACTTAGTGAATGATTTTGTTTGGAAGGAGCAGGACCCTTTTCTGCTGGATTTCAGGGATAATTATCTCAATGGGAGGTTTCTCCAAACCCTGATGCCTTCCTGGACTAGGAGTTCAGTGAGGAGCTGTCAGATCCCTGGGGAAAGAGTAAGTAAAGAACTACTCCAGTCGCATCTTTCTTTAGACTATTTTCCTCCTCTTTTTTTGAAAATTGCAAGTGATTTTATTTCTCCATGGTTAAGGGTAAGAGACTCACGACTGAGAATACATGATACAAATCCTTAAGCCAAAAGTGTTTTTAAGATTTATTTTTTAAAAATAGCTTTTTGGAATGGAGTAAGTTATCTAATCCGTGACCGAATCGCTTTCCTAGGCAACTTCATACGTTTTTTACTAAAACGCTATTTACCTTGAGATTCTAGAGCTTGCATAGAAGAGTCAATCAATGGAGAGACACGTCCATGTGTCCCTTCTCTTTGTACTTTGCAAAGACCACCTTTTAGTAACAGATCTGTGGGAGGCAGCACTCCATTCTCAAGCGCAGTGGTGCAATGCCCTCTGCTGGCCAACCTGAAGTCTATCAGCAAAATGCCTGCTTGGAGGTTAGGCTGAATATCCAAAATTTTGGAAAGACCCAGCGTACATAAGAGGTCACTTAATGTCTGCGCTCTAATTGTACTACTAATGAAATTTGGTGTTAGGCCTATGGAAAAGTCCTCGTTTCCTGGAGTTTCACATGATATTGAAGGATTAGAAGCTACTAGAATGTGCACACATTGAAACTGCCCAGCCCCTACCTGCCAACCATCTGAGCAATGAGGGACGTCGTGGGCTAGCCTCTCGGCCACAGCAGTTTGACATCCTCCCCTCTTGACTCTGGGACCTTCCTTTCTGGTTGCTGGCCCCTTCGTTCACCAAGGCCTCTTTTTAGATCCACCTGAGCAGGTGTACAAGGGGGAGTACTCACAAAACCGGAATTTATTTAGAATAAATTGTGTACTCATTCTTACATGTTTAAACGTCTGTCCCCTTCAAAGCACTCTCCATCTGATGCCATACACCTATTGAGATGCTTTTTCCACTGCTCAAAATAGTTTTTATTCTTATATTTATTTATTTATTTGTTCGTTCATTCATTCATTCATTTATGTTTGAGTCGGAGTCTCATTCCATTGCCCAGGCTGGAGTGCAGTGGCACACTCATGACCATCTCAGTGTCGACCTGCTGGGCTCGGGTGATCCTTCCGCCCCAGCCTTCCAAATAGCCGGAACTACAGGCGCATGCTACCATGCCTGGCTAATTTTTTAATTTATTGTAGAGACGAGGTGTCGCCAAGTTGCCCGGGCTGGTCTCGAACCCATGGGCTTAGGCAGTCTGCTCTCCTCGGCCTCCCAAAGTGCTGGGATGACAGGCTGAGCCACCGAGTTCGGCCTCAAAACAGTTTTTGAACCTGCCAATTTGAATGCCTTTTATTGCTTTTGCCATTTTTGGTTTCACATCTTCCATGTGGGCAAAACGCTTTTCTCTGAGGACTTTTTTCATCTGGGGAAACAACAAAAAAAGTTACTCAGAGCGAGATCAGGTGATTAGGGAGGGTAGGGCAGGGGGGTTATGCCGTTTTGGGGCAAAAACTGCTGAACCATCAGCACCATGTGGGCAGGTGTGTCATCATGGTAGAAGAACTAGTCACCTGTTTGCCACAACCTGAGACATTTCTTCTGCAAATCACGGCACAACCTTCTTAAAACTTCCAGATAAAAACGTTGGTTTACCATTTGATGCAGAGGAACAAATTCTAGGGGTTCTACAAAAGAGAATTCCAGTTTTAGGGAGTCCTCCCTTATAGGTACTGCTAAATAGCATCAGCAATCTGCATTATTGTTTACTATTTTGTACAATACGACTTGACAGTGATTGTGGGACGTGCTGGAATATGAACCTGGTGTGTCTCATTTCAAAGCCTGCAAATTATAATTTGGGGGGTTTTCTACCTCTTCCAGTTGGTTCTTTAGCATACCCCAGTAATCAATATGCATTTGTAATAATGTAGTCAACAGAGGCATATGGGACCTTTTAAATGCTCTACAAGTTCTATAGATATTGTTTCCTATCCAGAAGGGTGGGGAATGGATAGGTATGCTGTGCTTGTTATGAACCAGACACCAAGTACTTCATATACATTATCTCAATAATTCTGGGGAGTTATCATGATCTTAATTTCCTTTTTTTTTTTTTGAGTTGGAGTCTCACTCTGTCGCCCAGACTGGAGTGCA